CTTAATAACCTCTTGCTAGATGTTTAAAAGAATTCTCTTATATAAAAATGTTTACAACTGATCAGGGGTTAATAAATCGAAAGGGTATATAAAGAATTAAAATATTATTTCTCATCCCCTTCCAAAAAATCCTACTTTTTCAGAAGGGAAGAGGAGGGGAGAAGAGCCCTTCTCTTTTTTAAAAAATATCTTAACTAAACAAGGGGAGGGGAGCAACTCCCCTACCTTCCTAAAAAATTGCACCAGCCAAACAAGGGGGGAGCAACTTCCCTCTCCTCCCCTCCAAAAACCTCGTGCCAAACATAGTGCAAATACAATTTTCCCAAAAACTATTCCTTATGGTATATTGGTGATTAAGGGTGTGTTTGAACAAGGTTGAACAGAGCAGGATTCCTGTCCGATACCTAGTCTAAAGGTTTTGCAACCCGCTACTCAACTCTACCCAATAGAAGCCCTAATCATTTTGGACATGATTAATACAGGCAGGGCCGGGCGGGCTCTCCTTGTCCAAGTTTGCAGCTTGAGTCTTGAAATTAAAATATTGCTATATATCTTAACAAACATCTATGCTTCCAGAATTAAATAACATCCATATTTTTTTAAAAACAAGAAAATAAAAAATTATAATTAAAGCCTTAAGTTTTAAATGATATGCATTAATCTTCACAATACAAGCTATATTAACATATTCAATTATATTCCTCCAGTCCTAAACATAAGATTCACTTTACAGTGTAAATTATACTACAAAATGGGTTTTATATTTAGGATATGAGGAATATTATTAACTCATAGTTTAATTTGATTTATAGTGTTCTATATGTCACATTCAAATTAGTTTAATTTCATGATATATGAAGTAATATCAATATGAAAAAGTAAAAAAAAAAAACGATTATAAGACACAGTAATTTAAAAAAGTTAAAAGAGAGTCTTACAACATAATTTCAATTGAAATATAATATATTAATATTACACCATCTATATTATAATTCTGGCAAAAAATACATATTATAATATAAATAATTATTGTTTTTGGGGGCCTAAATGGGTAGGGCTGCATGACTTATCCTCAGCCTGGCCCTGCCCATGATTAGATCGGCCCAAAATGTCTATTTTTTTCGAGTTGTTTTTTTTGGACTGAGTTCGGCATTTTTTTGACAGGCTCAGAAAACACATCGAGCGATTGAGACCAACACCCCTGTTGGTAATGTGACTCGTTTAGAAGAAAGAGTTCAAACTTGCGTGAGAATTTGGTGGCCGAGTTATTGCAACATATTCTTGGGAAAATAACGCTGTTGTTTGAGTGTTTTGAAGAAAATTATTAATATTTTAGTCCCTATTTTAAAAATCAATTTTTTTAAAATAAAAACAGGGGAAATTGGTTGAAAGTGCATGTTTGAAAATTTTATTAGATAAAAAAAACATGAATTTGAGAGAGCACAACTCTCCTTTAATTATGTGCAATATATCTTTGATTATGTCCCAATGTCTTTTATCTTGAAAACTTTTACACATACATATTTTTAACCAAACTTTCCTAGAATATATCATAGGCGTCAATTTGGAAAAGGCTATTGTTTCAAGGGACCAAGCTGATAAATTTTTCTTTTCAAGGGATCTAAAGTCATTCTAAACCCAAACTCAGCTTCAACATAATGCTCAGCTGTAACTTCTGTGACACGAAATGAAAGGTCTCCATGCCCACACAGCTTATAATTTATAAATACTCCTTCGGTCCTTAATATAGGACTCAATTCTTGAGTTGGTTTTATTTCTAAATATAAGACTCATTTATCAAATTTATCAATTTTCTCTAAATTACCCCTATGGATACTCCCTCAACCATAATCAAATAGAAGAGAAAGATGTGGTATTAAAAAAGATGATTATAGTGTTTTAGGAAAAATGTGTCAATTTTCTCATAATTAACTAACTTACCTAATTTTCTTAATCTAATCAAATTAATTGAATAGGTCTTATATTAAAGACCGGAGGAGTACAACAAAACACATCATCATCTCACGTAGTACTTTTCATCCGTTATAACCATGTAATTAATTTATGAATATTAAGAGAATTAGTTAAATTAGTTATTGTGATAGATGTACCTTGATTTTTTTAAATTATCCACTCTAATCAAGTGCATTGGAATTATCTTTGATTGATAACCCCTTAATATGTGTAATATAATCAAATGAGATGGCTTTGGAAAAAATTATAAACCTAAGAGACAAAGTCAATTAAAGTTTTATATTTATGATGAAAGTAAACTTCTTCTTTAGCTTTTACATTAGTTAAGCTGTCATAATTAGGACTAGTAATAAATATGATGATATCTTGTATTTCATTTATGCTCTTTACATTATTCAAGGATATTGCTCACTGTGCGCACTTTAATTTAAACTATTTTACCCATATGGAATATCATCATCTTTTATTAAAAAACTGGATGCAATTTTCATATGCTTAATTAATTATAATACTATTTCGGTCATCAATATAAAACCCAATTATTGAGTTAATTTTGGTTCTAAATATAAAACCTATTTCTTATATTTATTAATTTTTTTAAAATTATCCATATGAATACTTCCTCAACCATAATCAAGTAGGAGAGAGGAGAAGAATATTAAGAAAAATAATTATGGTGTTTTAAAAAATGTCATATTTTTTATAATTAATTAACTTACCTAACTTTCTAACTCTAATCAAATTAGTTAATTAGATCTTATGTTAATGACCGGAAGAGTATTTGACACATTCTTACAACAAAACCTTCTTTTTTAAATGGAAAGATAAATATTTTGACAAGTTTTTGTTTTAGTCCCTATATATATATTTTTAATAAGTTTTAGTTTTAAATCATATATTTGACTTTCATTAATGCCACTAAATTTAGATCCAAATCCTTATGAAATATTATATTAGGACTATCATTTTTAGACCAAAAAAAGTTATAGGAACCAAAAAAAATAATTTGAAAATACATGGAGGAAAACCAAAATTCGATTAAATTATATGGACTAACAGTGATATTAACACTAAATATTTTACAATTTTTAGATTGATTTATTTTGATTGCAATTGGAATTTATGGGCTGCCCGTGGCATTTATATTGCATTGGTTTTTTTAGGTATTCAAAAGTGGGTTAGAAGAAGAAACACAGCACTGCATATAAGAACATGCAGAACAGAAAATGATTGTCATTACTCAATTACAAGCAAATCCGCGAATTTAAAAATCATTAGTAACAAGAAGCCAGAGAATGAAGACACAGCAAAATATTGCCAAATAAACCACACCCTTTAACAACAACAACAACAACAATAATAATGCTCAGCTATAAGGAACTACCAAAAAAGATACTACTTTTAGTTTTTAATATAAGAAGACATTGTTTGATTTTTATTTTGATCATAAATATAAGATCCCAATCTGTTTTGTCTCTAATATTTATGTATTTGTTTCCAAAGTAGTTCTTCTAATAATAATACTTCTAGCCAACACACTTAATTAGCAATGATATTTTAGTAAAGGTAACATCTATTTATTATAAATAACTAACTTAACCTATTTTCTCAATCTCTTCAAATTAGTCAACTAGCTCTTATAATTAGAACCCGAGATAGTATATATTAATAAGATATAATATTAATACGATGAGATTACATCCACTAAAGAGTATTGACTTCATCGTTTGCAACATATTTTACCTGAATGGCCTTCTCGAACCTTTTAACATCCTTGATGCACACATTCTTGAACAATCCAACATAAGTAGCCCCTTGAATTAGTTGGTAGCCTTGATTGATGAATTCCTCTGCCGTGGCGCCATCAAAAGGCATGGCCATTCACTAAAAGAAAAAAAAAACTAATTACTGATAGAATTAGTGACAGAATAATTTTCGTCGCTAATTTCTGACGGATTACCCATAAAAAATTCTGTCGCTAAACTTAGTCACGAAATTTTTCCATTAGAAAATTCCGTGGCTAAAATTTTATAATTAACATTTGCGACGAAATATTTTTCCGTGACTAATTCCGTGACTAAAATATAATATTTAATATAATATAAAAAATAATATAATAAATATATAATTAAATATATATCTTATGAATGTTAAATAAAAGAATTAAATTAAAAAAATATATTTATGAAACAATTATTTACTATTTAAAATTCAAAATTAGTGTCATTGGAAATTAATATTATATTTAAAATAATGTTTTTTAAAAAATAAAGCATTATAAAATAAATAGTAAAACAAATATCTAAAAATTTTGTTACAAAAATAGTTATGATTAAAATTATCATATAGTTTATTTTTAGTTTCTAATAATATATATGTGTATATATAATTATTTGTGTAAGAGAATATTATATATATTTAATTTTGCATAATAAGTCATTAAGTTCATTGTAACTCAACTGGTGAAGTTGCGCACGTACACAAACGAAGTCTTTGGTTCGAGCCATGGAGAAGTCACTTTGAGGAGGAATTATATGGTGGCGACACGTGACAATACAAGGTGACATGTGAGATAGTGACACGTGCTGACAGAGGTGAGGTGACAGAGACATGTGGAGATGAGGTCATGACACATGGTGGCAGAGCTGAGGTGGCGGCGACATGTGGAGGTGAGAGATAGCAGCGACACGTGGAGATAAGGTGGTGACATGTGATGGCGAAGGTGAGGTGGCATTTTAATTTTTTTAAAAAAAATATATTAGTGACAGAATTGAAATTCCGTTGGTAATTAGAGACGGAAAAATTCTATCAGTAATTAACGATAGAATTCTGATTTCATCTCTAATTTCATCGGTAATTACCAACGGAACTACGATTCTGTAAGAAATTCTGTCGGTAATCCAATTAGTGATGAAAAAATTAGCGATGGAACTAATTTTGTTGCTAATCCGTAAGTAATATGATTCCTTCACTAATCTGTCACTAATTCTATTACTAAATAAAAATTCTTTCAGTAAATTCCGTCACTAATCAAATATTTTTTGGCAGTGATTGCCGCCAAGAAAGGCCCCCGGCCCTCCTTCCTCTTCGCTGCCAACACCTTCGTCTCTATCTTCCTCGTCATCTCCCTCACCTTCTCGTTTCTTGGCTCCCTCATGCATCCCACACTTGCACATAAGTTCGACTGGCCCCACCATTATCCCGTCCACTCCTTCCACCGCCGCGATCTCTACCACTTTCTCCACCGCCTTCTCTATCATTATCCCGTCCAATGGGAAGATGAGGCCATGAGGGCCGAGGTCAAGAACCTTCATAACCCAAACGTGGTTAACCTTAGGAATGCAAACAATGACGGGAGTGTTGGAGGAATTCAAGGCGTGGATGCACCGGAGGGTCTCCGAAATGCCGCCAAGGCCGTGCTCTAAGTCAATCATTATGAAGTCATAGCCAATCCAACCGGCTATTTCAGCCATTGTTGGGGAGAAACTCTGCAAGGACATGCCATATAGGCATTCCCCATTTTGAAGACGAGCTTTGAGGGACCTGGGTTTGGGTTGGTGGTTGTGGTTGTGGTCGCGGTGGTGGATGTTGCCGTTAGCAGTGGTATGAAGGTGGTTGACGGCGGTGTGGTTCATATTTTCCATCTAGAAGGAGAAGTGGCGCGAGAGGAAGATGAAGAGAGGGAAATTAAAAGAGCTCAAAGAAGAAGCTAATGAAGCTTAACATTTGGTAGACATAGAAGGGTGTTTATAGGGAAGAAAGCAAGCATAACAGCATGTGAATACATATTCAGCCCTGAAATATTATATTGAGTGTTAAAGGAAGGTGGAGAGAGAAGAAATTGCTGCATATAAAAAGACATGAAATAAATAACAAAAAAATTACTATGAAACTTAATTATCAATAAATTCTAATAACAATTAAGCAGTATAACAGATTGTTATTTTTTAACACTAAAACTATTTATCCTATGCTTCTCAACTATTAATGCACTTTTGGCTGACTAAAAATTAATCTCCACGCTTCCTTAGAACCTGTTGGTGATTCCCCAATAAATTAAGTAATCTCATGTATTTATAATATTTTTTATGTCATAATGTTTGTATGAAACAGAATGAGGATTCAAAGTTCTTGAGACTGGGGAATCACATGCACGGCAGGGGCGGAGCCACGTGTCTTTGAGTCAGTTGGGCAAAATTATGTACATGTCGGGAGTATAAATTTAAACATTTTATTTTTGCCACTGTTTGTTTTTTTGTACTGAACATTTTGCCCACTCTAAATATTTTGCATCTGGCCCCTAGATATCCATGCCCAAATTTACCAAGTTAAATTTTCTTTCTTGGATATATATAATGTTTTAATTTAAGTCAATTTTTAAAACCATTAAATCTAAAAAATTTTATAAATTTATAAGAGAATATTATTCTTTTATCCTTTTTTCTTAAAAAAAAAATCATGAAAAGCTTCCCATTCTATAATAGAGAAGTAATATTATGATTTGTCCTTTGGTGTACCCAAATCTCATTATGTTGCTGGTTTCATCTTTTTCTCCAGGATTTATTATTATTCAATTTATGTATTTTTGGAAAAACTAGATTTTTTAATAGTGTCTTTTTAGTTGATACATAATTTCATATACTTGTTTTATAGATATATATTTACATAGTATCTTGTGATGATTTTAAAAAATTAATTAAATATTTATAAATCTTCTAGATTTTAAAGTACAAGATAAAATTATTTTTTAAGCAAACAAGAAGTTATCATTTTAATTCGATCGACATGAACATTAATAGGAAGAGCTTTTATGCTTAGTTTATCGTTTTCTTAAGCTAGTTGATTAGGTTTACAACAATAATAGAAAGAGGCTTTGCTTTTTGTCATAAAAATATTTTGAAAAGTAGTCCACGCAAATGAAAGCATTGTTCAGTGATTTTTGTTAAAAGATATAATTTTAATAGCATATATTAATAATTAACCTATTGTAAAACTATTCTGAAAATTGTAAAATATATCATTAATATTTAAAAATGTTTTCTTCGCATACAATAGTTAAAAATGTTAATACTATTGCTTCTCCTTTTAATTTTGATTAAATTTTAGTTTTCGTTCATATTGAAACATATGGTAGAACAGTGACTAATGGTTCATACTTCTTGTGGGCTCAAACACATTGTTGTAGAGGCATAAATTGGGTATTCAGACACCGCAATGCAAAAGTTGAAGAATATAAAATTAGAAAGGAATCAGTTCACTATTCAGCACTGGAAGTCTTGAGAATACCCAGCTACAACCACGAAAAAGATATATTTACAATTAAAAAGTATTATTTCTGATTCCTAACTTGGGATTGGATTTTGTTCTAAATATAAAATCTAAATTTGTTTTGTTTTCCAAATTTATACTACTTTCAAACTTTTATATAAGATTTAGATAGCTAATTTAAAGATATTGAAAAAATTAGTTAAAACAGTTATTTTACATAAATATTTGTTGGTCTTTTTAAATTATCTTTTTTCATCAATGTCTATTGGACTGTCCCTTGTCAGGAACATGAGAAATAAAATAGATTGAAATATTATATTAAGAACCAAATTCAATCCCCAAACTAGCTTTGATATTAAAAACCAAATTCATATTTTTTTCAAAATATTTGTATTGGTTATAAACAGTTTCCGTCAAAAGATAATTCCAATGCATGAGTAAAAAGATAGTTTAAAGAAGTTAACATACATTCATTATAAGTAACTAATTTGATTAATTTTTTTAATTTATTTATATTAGTTATCTAGATCTTAGGAAGGGAAGAAAAAGCAAACCAGATAAAGAAAACTTAAATATGACAAAGCTTGAAGCTTGATGATTGCATCATGGAAATTAATTGATGGCAACTTGCGTGCTCTCCTAGTTGCAAAGCAAATCACGCGTGCAAACACTCACGTTAGTTGGGATTGCCTTGGTGATGAGGGCAATTGGATCCTTATCCTTTTTTTCGGGGCAGTAAAAATCAGATAATGTTGGAAGAAATAGTTAGAGACAAAAGGGGAAGAGAAACACCAAAATGGCATTATTTCTGTTTATATTTCATGTACTTAGAAAGAAAATGACAAAACAAGAAATGTGATTGTGTATGGAATTCACATTTCATAACATCATTTATCTACTACGTGGGTATGTGCACGACTCATATCTTACAATCATACTCATCAACTCTTTTCTTTGTGTCTTTCTTCAAATGGATCATATAGATTTATTTTTGTGAATGGAGAGGAAAGCTCTAGCAGAAAGCATCATCATATATCTATCAACTGTGTAAAGTTGAGTAGAAGGAACTCAATTATTCTTAAGCAAAGTTAAGAATTCAAACTTCGTGGATAGAGAAAATTATATTGAGAGAGTTATTCCCAGTTATACATGACAATGCTCAAACTTGACATAATAGTACTAAATAGTACTTCTCTGGTATTTAATATAGGACCCAATTGTTGAGTTAGTTTTTATTCTAAATATAAGACCCATTTTTTATGTTTATCAATTTTCTTTAAATTACCATATGGATATTCCTTCAACCATAATCAAGTAGAAGAGGAAGATGGGGTATTAAGAAATGTGATTATAGTATTTTAGAAAAATGTGTCACATTTCTTATAATTAACTAACTTACTTAAATTTTTTAATCTAATCAAATTAGTTAAATGGGTTTTATATTAAAGACCGAAAGAGTATATAATAAAGGAAACCAAGGCACCACAATCTGCCAATTTCTTACTCCCTAAGAAGATATCCACTAACACTCTTCTGGTGTTTAAGTTAAAGGATTATCAAGAAAAGATAACTAAGGTTCAGTTACAAGGGACTTTAAGTTCAGAAATGAACAAAATATGCATCAAGTAAAGCTTAGTCATCTAATAAGCACAAAACATTAGATCATTATGAAGTAAGATTCAGACGCATCGAACGTTATAACCCCCAAACAATTCAAATGTTCAGTAAGTTGGCCGAATTCTCTGCAAATTTAAATCTTTCAATTAGTTACATAAATCTTAAGCTTAGCTGCAGCCTCTTGCTGCAAAGTTATAAGTATCAAATCATGTATGTGCCTAATAAAAATATATTTTTATATATTTATTGTTTTTGATCAATTTTAACTAATCTTGATATTTAATACTGTGACTTGAAAATTTATATATTTATATGAAAACGTTAGTACTGTGACTTAGAAATAAAAAAAAATCATCTTCCTTATAAATACGATAGGATGAGTATAGCTGCGCTTTTGCCTTGTAATTGATTAAAGCCTAAACATAAATTGGTAATCGTAATGAAACTTCTTAGTTCTTAGCATGTAGTATACTACATTCTAACAATGGCATCATTTTATCAATAATAAAAAATGAATACAAAAGTATCCAAAAGAAAATAGAACAGTAGCAACCAGAAACAAAAAAAAAAAAATTCAAAATACAAACAGAGCAAAAAAAACAGAGAAAAAGAACAAAAAGAAGAAGGAAAAATTGGGAATAAATCCCTAATTGAGAATTTAATTGGTAAATGGTACTTCAGGATTTTATGCAACTTAATTTTTTCAGTATACAACTCAATTTTTCTTATGTGCAATCATGTTTCCTTGTGTCACATCTTCTCTTCGTGCAACTGAACTTTTTATGTGTGCAACCCATCTTCCTTTATATGCAAGTTATTATCTGCAAATTAGCCTCTTGTATCCAAATAATGTTTTGCGCAAATAATTTTTTCCATATGCAACTCAACTTCCCTTATACTCATTTCATTTTTCCTTGCGTAACCTATCGTCCTAGGAATTATTTGCTAATTAATTTTCTAACGAGAAATTTATCACCAATTTTGCCAAGGAACAAAACTAATCTTTCAAAAATGTATTACTACATTGTAAACTATATTATTTCACATTAAATATTTTTGAGAAAATGAGATAAATCTTCGTTTGAAAAGTTTACTGAGATTGGCCATTAGAACTTTGTGAACGACCGCAGTCTTTCAAAGAAAGATAAATTTGCTCATAAAATGATCACAGTGCCCTTAGTGTACATGTACATGTTCAACTCCTAGATCTCGTTTATTTAATAACATCTCCCATGGTAATCACCATTCCAATGTAAGTATACATTTTTAGATTTTAGTATAATACAATCATGTCCGATTAATTATAATTATGTAAGTAATCTCTTGGAAATATGGTCCTTGCTAAAGATATAAAACCCAATCCCAAGGACAACCATTTTACCAATAAATTAAATACATCTTTCTTATATAAAATGTAAAAAAAAAAAAAAAGCCGCACTATGCATACCTTGCGAGGAACAAAAAATTGATCTAAATACTAAATTGATTGAGGTAATAGTTCAATAGTCAGTGGGTTAAACTAGGATCAACTCAAGATCAAACTAGTCGTATTAAAATAATATCATTTAATTGAAAATAGCAAAATACAATAACATTAACAATCACTAGTAACAAAATACAAGGAAATAGAATAATAGTTTGATTGTAATAATAATAAAGGAGAATAACATAAAAATTTTGATTTTTACGATTCTTTAATAATTAAAATTAATAATCATTGATATCAAAATCATTATTAAAATTCATTCAAATTTATAAT